GAAGAAAAAGTCACAGTTAAACATGGGTGTTAAATAGCTGTAGAATTTAGGTGTGCCATTTCAAACTGACTGCCCACAAGGTAAAAAGTGGAATCTTTTCCGGCTACGCTCAGCCCTTTCCTGCAGGTCGGCGGAAGTGTTCGTTACGGAAACCTGGCTATCTGCCTCTGCCTATCTGACCAAATTTCCATCGACGGTTACAGAACCTTTACAAAAAATCTTCTCCGTCGCGGAGAAGGCTGCTAATACACATTGAAAACAGTCTGTCCACCGTTCTCCCTTCTGATTCAACACTGGACGCAATCCGAGACCCAGTTTGGGTAAGATTCTACTGCCTAACTCTCCATTTAATGTTGGCTGCGTCTATCGGCCGCCCAATTAAAACACCACGAGCCTCAACAAAGCAGTCAAGGCTTCTGACTAAATTGTACTATTCCAATCCTTGTTGAAGCTCATTGCTGGGTACTTCAGTGCGCCTAATGTCTGTTGAGATACCATGTCATTACTACAGTGATTCACGTATTCCGTTTTGACCATACGTTCAGGGAGCTGGATCCAGCATGTAATGACACCAACCAGTGGAAGTAGCATACTCGGCCTGGTAATTACCACTGGCCTATAGAATGTGAAAAGCCTTGCCCTCGATCTCTTCCTGGGCAGCGACCATAGAATGTTACCTTTCACAGTTCGAACCCGGATCCGTAGATCCCTGACGTGACCCGTCCAAACAGACTTTAAACACGATTAACTTGGTAAACCTCCAGCCCATGCTTCGCTGTTTAAAATAGGACTGCTACTTCCTGCAGCACGGCCCTCAGCTCGCTACTGACATACTCTGTGGTGAACTACATAGCTGTCTGCCAGCAGAACATATTCCGTCCTCAATATATGCGGACCTAACCACAAGTTCCGTAAATTTATCCCCACTGAAGATGAACTCTACTCCACGGAGTCCAAGTTTATGACTTGCACACGACTGGTGACCCAAAAGTGGTGTTTATTCACGTATTATTGGCTACAGTGCCCTCAGTTGCCGGCAATGGCATCTCTGAATCCGCCAATCATTTTGATCCCACTTTTAAATTAACTGTAATTATCTACTGGGCACTGGAGGATTTCTTTGCCACAGTATGCTACTTCATAGGACTTCAACATAGGAACGTCAACTTCCGCTCGAGTTATACCATTTCCCATGTTCTGCAATCGACAATGGTTTCGGTATTCAGACTTCATGACTAGAACCCCCGTTTAATTGGCCAGTTATTGTAAAGTAAGAGAAATAACACGGAACATATTGAAACAGATACAACATAGTGAATGGGCTTGTTTTCAGTTATTTGTACTCACATCAATGCATAACAATAAAAGCAACTGAAACAGAGAAGAAGAATGGTTATTCCAATCTTTCTGTGCACGCTCGCTTGTGCATGCTTCGGTGAGAAATTGATCACAGTGAAGAATGTTCGAGTGGCTGCACACTTGATTGGAAATAAGAAGTGAACCATAGGAGGTTAAGTGCTTGCACAAATCTTTTTGAGCAAACAGGATGCGATCTTAGGGCCGGGTAATCTGGGGTTCAGCCGGATTTAGGGTACAACATTTGACAGGTCATGAGCACTTACTCAGAATATTGTAAACGGCGAGAAATGTGTTTAAAGCACCCAACGAGTGGTTTGACCCCACAAGGTGAGAACATATATTGCTGATGATTGTTTCGATGGCTCCTGCGTTCACTCAAATCGGGTGGTTTTCACGAACGAGTTCGGATAGGAGCCTGGTCGTGGGACCAATATACCTATTTCCGTAGGAACAGATGAACGAGTAAACAGAAAGGTGCTGCAGAATCTGGCACTCTACCCTTCAATCGAAAACACACGATCGGTTCGGACGGGAACAATACTTGTAGTTTTACAGAGTAGGATATTCCGCTGACTCATCCGGCTAGTCTTCGGTGAACAACATTAGTTTCCGTATCTCCGTTTGTAGTGATCAGCCAATCACACTATTTCTATCACTTGTTTGACCGTACATTCCGAGCACGCAGCATCCACATGCGCCTCTCCGGGGCACTTCCTCGGCACACGCAAGCATGCGGTCTCTATACTCGGGCCTCGTGAGAAAAAAAGCTTCAGGCAATCCACGGACTTTTCTCGTTGAGTTCCTCGACGAACGCGATCACAGAGGCTGGGGGGGGGGGGTGTTCCCCCAATACTTTGGGTGGCAAACGGACACATGAGAGCCTCTTTTAGACTACTGTTTGTTTTGGCCCATCTTTATGTCTTTGCATCTTCTTGTCAATAAAACGTTTAGGATAGCCATTTATGGGAAAACATCCCTCAGAAAACGAAGTCCATTTTCCTTAGAGTCTCTTGCACACATTTTCCCTGCTCTATTAACTCGACAACGTCCTGGACTTCTCATCAATATGAGCGGCGAAAAACTAAAAATAAGCGTATTGCCAGCCCTAATTTGCTTTCACGTTTACTGACAGACATAGGAAATCATCGTTTTATGGCTCACAGAAACAGCTAAGCATGGCAGAACGTGTTCTTTTTTTCCAAATTCGGTTTAATGAATAGATGGGCTGTGAAAGAACTATTAATTATAAAGTAAATATCGACTCTGGCATGTACTGTACATTGGATATCGTCCAAGTATCGCCCGCATAAGATGCCTTTTTTTACAGTTTCCTAGATTTGCGTACTTTCAGGCCATGATAAAATCAATAATTTAGGGCTTCCAAGGTGACCTTATTTTCACCTAGTCTGTCTGACAATATATTTTGCCGTTGAACTGAAATTGAAGATAATTAGTAACTGATTCAATTCAACTAACGAAATGCTGAGAAAGATTTTTTTCCCGCGTGCACTCACATATGTAACTGACTGTTTAGGCGATCGGGACTTTGGAGAATGGTGAAAACATCTGCCTGATTTCCAAGCCTAAATTGTTCGCGGTGTCCATAAAGAAAAACTTTTCTCGTAGCTTGTATCATATTTAATTATTTCAGCCTGTGTTTTCACAGGTCGGTTTTATTGAATTTGGTCATTTACATCCTTATAACATCGCAGATGCTGAAGCATTAGCTGCAAAATATTCGAACTCTAGTGGAGTGATTTACGGAAATTGTTGTACTTTTCTGAACGCATGGAAAAATTCTAAAGCCGAAGCAACAGAGGGATAATCAAGATTCGATAAAGCGTTTAAGACTCAACGATTCATAGTAGACTGAGGATGTCTTAATATTAGGATGTCTGAAATGTGGGCTCCGATCAAGGCAGTTGAGCTTCAGAAAGAGGCTGCTGGTGCTGAAGCTCAAGTCAAAGGCCATATTGCATATAAAGTGTAGATAGTTCCAGGATAGGATAGTTTCGGATCTGGTAGGCAAGAAAGATAGAGCTTTGATAGTCCAATACCGACCGATAAGAGAGAAGCTAACTTCATTTTTGCTGTAAACTTGCGTGCTGTGCAGGACTGTTTCTCCGTTATGGAGTGGCTAATGTGTGAACAAACCCTGAGTCCCACGAGAGGGAACTCAACTTCACTTTGTGTAACATGGAAAGGATCGTACGGGCTTGACCTCGCACAGAACTACCGAGAATCAAGAACACCAGCACTAAGCAGAATATAGCGTAATATTCCGTACGCGAGGTATCACGTTTAGTACCAGTGCGCACCATAGCAGAGGGGATACAGTAAAGCATAACAAGGAGAGTCGATCTTTATTATCACATCGGTCAAAAGCCGAATTGAAGTGAGGGTGTTTGTATTCTCCTCGCGGTAATGAACGGATTCTTTCAGAATTTCAGATACCTGATTGGTTCGTGGGATTTTCGGATTCAAATGCATCTTGATTAGAATTATCAGTTGGTGCAACACCAAGTGGAATGACGCCCGACTTAACATCTTCAATGAACTGCGCCTGTTCAACATGACGTGTTTGGCTGGATAAACCATCCAGATCCAGTATAAAGATCATGCGGTTTCCGTTGCGAGAGATGACAATTCCGCTCGCCGGTAACAAACCTTTAATCCAAAATAAATGACTTAAGCTTTTAATATACTCTTCAGATTGTTTTTCCAACTACGGCATTTTTCTTACCGATGTGAGAAAATTTGTGATAAGAAGGTCCTCACGGTTTGGAATTTAGAAAAAAGCGCAAACGGGATAAAACGGAAGGAAACTGGTTATATGGCGAGAGTAAAAACAGATGTGTAAATTGTTATGCATTCGGTTTGTGATGCTTCTGCCCTTGCTTGTTCAGCAATCTTACACGGATAACAGGGTTGTTGGGATGAAAAAGAGCGAACGAATATAAAAAATGTACCTTCAGGGCTCGAAAAAAATAGTTAAACCGGACGATGAATATGTTCAGTGCACGTGGTTTGACCACCAACAAGAAGAATACATCCAAAGTCAGAGAAGAGACGCACTCTAAGAGGCAAAGGAGCAGTGTCAGCCGCAGTGAAGACAACAACAATGGAAACAGCAGATATAAAAGCACTGCCAACAAGAAAACATTACAAGTCTATGCGAACTGGTCTGTGCAGAGGCTGAGCGGTTACGAATAGTAAGTATTGCAGGCTGAGAGCTATCCTAGAACGAGAAAAATCTGCCGAGCTAATAAATATGAGATGAGCGGGAAATAAAAGAAAGATGCGGATAAACAGAAATTTAATTTTTTTGCTGAGTGAAATGGAGGGTGTGCGCGTGGCAGGAAGTTGCCTGGTTTTTTCAGAGGGGACAGTGGTAGGCTTTATTTCCAACCTGACACTGGAGAATACCGGGAGAGAAAAAAATCTGACAAACTGTGCCCTTCGCCATCGGAAGTGGGCGAATGGTGCCCAGCTTCTTGAATTCTGTTTTATTCCTGTTTGTCTTTTTTTCTATTCGTCATGCTGTACGGTATAATAATGAGATAGAGCGCCGGTTCGATGAGTCAAAGGCAGTTAACAGTTTGTTTGTTTGTTCGCATGGATGGACGAGGCTGGTACCGGCTTCAACACAGGACATGATGGCTTTCATCAGACGAACTGGGACACACAGAGAAGAGTAACAGAACCGGGGTTGTACCACGGACGGGGAGAAGAATTTGCATGTAGCGACAGATCACTGCCGACACAGTCGGGTAGGGCTGACTATACTCCCCTGACATGTACTGATTCGAATTCGGATCCACTGAGAATTTCATATGCAGCAAGTCACATTTGAGTCGGACTGAAAGTGAATATTCCGGCTTGCTTGTTTCACCTTGACGCACCAGATTTAAATGAATCAAATCATTTGAAGAACAGCCCGCAAGCAGAGAGCACTCCTTTCGAGCAACCCTACTCTCCACCTGATATGAGGCAAATACGGCGGGATCGCCGGCCAAGGGACGGCGATAGTGACGCTGGGCTGGGAAGGGTGGCCAGGCAATCCCAGGTCCCATTTCTTCCAACGGCACAGTATGGCTAATACTGCCTTGGTAGAATGACGGTGGAAAAGGGAACCCTTGGGCCTCAGGTACTGTGACACTACCCATGGTTCGAGGATTGAGAATATCAGCGGTTCCTTGGCTGTGCGATCTCGATACACCCGTACGAACACGCCTTTGATGCCCCGATGCAGTGGCTGTGGTACCAGGAGCAGTGGTTGCTTGGGTTCCATCAAATGGCTGGTTTCCAAAGATCATCCAGGACGAATCTGGTGGGGAGAAAATAGACCGTGTCACAGACGAAATGGGAAACGCTGCTTCGAAGTTAACACACGGCAATCTTTCACGCGGGTCCCATTAAAAATCTCGCACAATCGATTGGCATGCCCCCGATCCGGACTGGCGCGATGCTGCTGTTCCGCAGAAACAAAAAGGGAATCCGTGAAAAAGTGTGGTGCATGCTCGGGGCTAAGGGACAGCATGGGGCGCCGGCAGACAAAACGAGACGAGTCGAACAGATCAACTGTGTTCAGGTCGTCCAGAACAAAGGCTTCGTTGAATTGACCGTGGATGGCAGACTGAGTCATGAGGGCTCGTGCATGATCCGACGGGGATGACTTGGCTCGACCAATGAGGTTAGTCATCACGCGCGATCGAGCCATGACGTTTTGTTGTGAAACCAGAAGTCGTGTGGGTGAGAGCTGTGTAAATATGTGATTTTAGGCCAGACCAGCACTAACCTGTCGTTTAAAGATTTCTGGAGGTTCTTTGGTTTCCGGATGACCGTATAATAGAAGACCGGATCATTGCTGAGCTCGCTAACATTCAGTCTGGATGTGTGATATGTTGTTCACTCCTGCGGACTCAGAGGATTGACTTCCGTCCGTCAGTTGTTGTAGTTGATGCTGTGGTCCCAGATCGGGATGTACATCACGGCTAACGGATGCAATGCATCCATATCCGAATCGGTCCGATTGTGACTTTCTGGATCTCGCCTGCTTTTGGACGCCAATCGGGGGTTCGAATGTTGCCGCATCCGTTCCGGAATCTGGCGTGGTTCCGATCCGGAATCAGCGGACGTTGTCAAGCATGTAGGACGTCGTGGGGTCGTGGGCATCTAGCCCAACCTGGGATCGATCTCACCATCATCGTGACCGTAAGCCGTACTCACAGGCACTGTGCCTGCATGGTCCGATGTCGAAGCGAGAAAACTGTGCCTGGAGTTCTCAGAATGTTTCGGTGGAACCCACTGCGGAATATCATGCTTAAAGGCTAAGGATTGAGACAGTGCAGCAGCCACGGCTGCTTGTACAATGTAATCTTGATTCGCCGCTGGGATAAGATCCCGAGTAGTTGGTTTCAGTGAGACCACGAAGCGGCGGTCCAAAATGATTGTTGTTGTCATGCAACCTGGCAAACTGTGGTGCCGTTGATAAACCCCTACTCGATCAGTACCGGTCGGACTGAGCTGGACTGAGTTTTACTGGTGTAGATGTGGTCCGAGGATTGCCCGTTTGCGTTTATCGTGAACTGGTCAGGGTAGAAGAATTTGTGGTCTGCGTCGCTGGACGGTCCTGACAAGTTATAACGACCGCACATGGAAAACTCCCCTAAAACCGTTGCGATTCAGTGTTTTACTTAACATCATTCACTTGCTTACACTATTGACGTATCTTTACGAACTGTTCGTTTTTATGGGCCAATTATTGTTTGTTCGCGCCCAGAGCGCTACTTTGTCACATCCTTGTTCTGGACCTGCGTGACGCACGTGTTCCTTGCTCGCCAGCCGCAATTCAGTTTCTCGCTTGTTGAGTCCATGTGATCTCAGTATTGAGGTTTGCATCTTTTTGGTGTCATTGTTCATTCAATAATTTAGTATCGTAGAATATCACGGATAATTGCCTTTTGATTTCGGAATCCGTTGCGAATTTGGCTACGCATTGCTCAAACGTGTGTAACACAGGGCACTGTCCGGGAGTCAGTATTTCCCAGCCCAGCAGAGAAGTCACCATCAGTGACCGACGTAGACACACCGTTGACATCGGCTTGTTTTGAACTCGCAGAATCAAAACTGATTGGGTTATGCCTGCCCTGTTCAGTATTCACAGAAAACCGCACCGTGGAACTGATCCGGGTTTCCGAACTGAAGACCTATTTCCGTGGTGGCTCAAGCAACATTTTTTTTTCGGATCGCTTCTGGGCACCTTGGGTAGTGATGGCAGGGGCGGTGGTGGGGGCAATGGAGGGTAGGTAGAAGACATGGTCCGATCCGGATGAAACGGCAGAAGTGAGGAGGGAACCGGCACGGTTGTTGCCGCACAGGCTGTAACGACCGGTCGTGGAAAATCCCCCTCTTTCCCTCGCGATTCAGTGTTTTTATCAACATCACTCATTTGCTTACATTATTGACTTGTCTTTACGAACTGGTTGTTTATATGAACCAACTGTTGTTTGTTCGTGCCCAGAGCGCTACTTTGGCACATCCTTGTTCTGGACCCGCGTGCCGCACGTGCTGTTTGCTCACACGTTGCTATTCGGCTTCTCGTGGTTGAGTCATTGTGATCGTACTATTGAGGTTTGTACATTTTTGATGTCATTGTTCATTTGATAATCTAGTATCGTGGAATATCGCGGATGATCGTCTTTTGCTTTCGGGATCCGTTGTGAATTTGGCTACGCATTGCTCAAACGTTCGTTACAATACTCAATAGATCAATTTGGAACGAGAAAAACACGCAATATGCCAAGAAAAGGATCGAAAACATTGGAATCCGGACAGGAAGTAACACGGCAAGTCTCTGAGGAGGTTTCGGGTACATTTGATTCTTTAGTTAATGTTAGATCGCCTAGTCCTGTTAGTGCTAGTTCATGTGTTAATGAGAGCAATACGGATCGTAAGGGTGTTGATTTATATAGGCTGAGAATACTAGACCTAGAAAAATAGTTACTATCGGCTAGACTAGAGGCACTGGAAGCAGGAAAGAAATGTATGCAGAAAGAGCGAGAGGGTGAGGCCAGCGACTACGACACTTCCGATAGATCAGGGTGCAATAAGATAGGGAACCACACGCCGGTCGCCGACTACAAACCACCATCGATCGACTTGTCAAGAGTGGAACTAACGGCTTTCGACGGGCGAGCTGAACAATACTGCAAGTTTGTCAAGCAGTTCGAGACGTTCGTCGAAAATAAGGTAACCAACCCTGGCCAAAGGCTTCTCTACCTTACTCACTACTGTCGAGGCCGAGCAAGAGAAGCTATCGACGGGTGTACCATGCTCGACCCGGAACAAGGCTACACAAGGGCAAGGAAGATTCTAAGGGACTTGTTTGGCCAACCGTTCAAAGTAGCCCGTAACCTAATAGAGGGCGTGATGGCAGAGGCAAAGAGAACCAAGGGCGACGTCTACACAATGGCCGACTTGGTGATTAAGATGCAAAACTGCTCAATAGTCCTCCACCATTTAGGTTACAGAGCTGATCTAGATGCCATGCACACGTTGGGAAACATAGTCTGTCACCTTTCTGCCGAACTGCAGGGTCGGTGGGCGGAAGAAGCAGAATGGAAAAGCCGAAGCGACAGGGAAGCTAACTTCGAAGACCTGACCGAATACTTGGACAGGCAAACCAAGATAGCTGACAGCAGGTTCTGCCGACTCGTCCGGGACAGCAACTGGGCAAACAAGCCCAGTACTAGCCAAGCTCAAACCCCTGCACGGGAACATCCAAAATACCAACCTTGGGCCAACACTCGTGCTATTTCACGTGATGCCGCAGCGCAATCAAACTGCAAAGCCTGTGGGGCTAGCCATGGACTACCAGAATGCCCCAAGTTCGGCAACGCAACAGTAGACGAACGGTGGGGAATGGCGAGGATGGCAGGAGCATGCCTTATTTGCCTCAACACCACCCACCGGGCGGCAGTTTGTAGGGTAAGAAACCGATGCGGTTACGAGAGCTGCACGGGCAGATACCATCGATTGCTGCACCAGGCTAGAGTAACCTTATCCGAGGCGAGTACCGAGCCCAGCGTTATTTGTTCAACGTCTAGGTCTGCCAGTAAACCGGTGCGTTTGGGGGTAGTGGCCGTGGGAGTAGTGACTTCAACGGAGGTGGTCAAAGCGTTGGCTTTCATCGATAGCGGATCCGACACTACTCTGGTGAAAGAGCGGTTTGCCGACAAACACCAACTAGCTGAAGGTGCGACGTCGTTGGCAGTGAGCACGGTGGGCGGAACACAGGTAATGAATGCCGGCAAGCTAAGGCTGCAACTCGTTTCTCTTGACACTAACGAGGAAATTGAACCAACGGAGGCATTCACGTTAGCGGATCTCCCCATGCGAGCACCAAGGTCGGTCAACGCAATTTTGACTAGGTGGCTCCACCTGCAGGATGTAACCTTTGTAGACTGGGAAGATGATGAAGTGGATCTCCTCATTGGCTGCGACTTGCCAGAGGCGCATTGGGCGCTTGACCAGAGAGTGGGCGGCCGCCAGGCACCTTATGCCGTACGCACAGCTCTGGGATGGATGTTATACGGTCCAGTAGGGGGACGTGGTTCCGTGAACTATTTATCCGCCGAAGCGGACAGCACAGAGTACCATCTGCAGCGGCTGTATGAAAAGGAGTTTCATGACATTGGAGAAGAAAGACCATCGTTGTCCTAAGAAGATCACTTAGCTCTACAAACGGTGCGGCGGAGCACTAGAGGTCTCAAAAAACAGTTTGAGGTCCCCCTCCCATGACGCTCATCTGCCGACCCGTGGACTGACAACAGAAATTATGTTCTTCAACGTTTACTACGATTGAAAGAACGCTTCATTCGAGACGAGAATCTGTGGGAACGATAGGCGGAGTTAATGAAGCGAAACGAGGCCCTGGGTTACGTTGAAAAGGTGCCTGCCAACACCGACGGCAAAATGAGTATCTGGCATCTGCCTCACCACCCGGTCATCAACCCCAAGAAACCGGAAAAACTGCGGGTGGTTTTCGACTGTGCGGCCAAGTTCCAGGGCAAGTCGTTAAACGATCGCTTACTACAAGGGCCGGACTGGACCACACCACTGATCGAGGTTCTGTGCCGCTTCAGAGTGGGTGAAGTGGCCTTGTCCGCCGATATTAGGGAGATGTTTCATCAGGTGAAAATTCCGGTAGGAGAACGAGATGCACTGCGTTTCCTGTGGTGGGAAGAGAGCGACCGGGACAGAGCAGTGATGAATTATAGGATGACCGTCCATCCCTTCGGAGCCATATCGTCACCATTCTGTGCAAACTACGCCCTCCGAGAATCAGCGAACAAACATGGGGATCTAGTACATCGGAAGGTGGTAGAAAGCGTCAGCAGGAACTTCAACGTCGACGAATACCTTGGTCATTCGATGATGTGGAATCAGTTCTAGCACAGTTCAGAGGCCTGACGAGGTTGCTGGAGGAGGGCGGCTTCCATCTAACCAAATGGATGTCAAACGCTTCAGAAGTACTAAAGTTCATTCCGTGCCACGAGAGAGCCGAGAGGGTGAGAGATTTGGACGGCTCTCCACTTCCTATCCAACGCACTTTGGGAATACAATGGGACGCGAAAACGGACGACCTCGTTTTCGAGCTAAAGGTTCCTGAACTGCCAATAACCCGTCGTGGCATACTATCCGCTGTCTCTAGTTTGTTCGACCCGCTCGGTTTCGTCTCACAATGGCTGCTACCCGGGAAGATCTTGCTGCAGCGGCTGTGCCGTAAGAAAGTTGATTGGGACCAGTCACTTGACCGAGAAGACCGGTTGAACTGGGAAGGATTTTTAAACACCTTGAAGAAATTAGGGGACATAAGGATCCCACGATGTCTGACTTCTGGCCGTACAACGCGAATTGGAGAACTACATGCGTTTTCCGGCGCATCCGAAGTCGGGTATGGAGCTGTGGTGTGCGGGCGATGGTGCCCCGGAGATGGTCAGTATACCACGAGGATTCTGTTCGCCAAAGCCCGCGTTGCTCCACTGAAGTCGGTCTCGATCCCACGCCTGGAACTTGGCGCAGCCGTGTTGGCAGTCAGGGCGGTGCGAGACGAAATGCCACAGCGGGCAAACAATTCATGGCCCCACTACCAGAATGCAGGGTGACTGCGG